TGTGATTTCTAGTAGGATTTCTACTATAAAAAGATTTCCATCATTATTACTTTATTTTTCTCGCTGTAAGTAAGTTTTGTGTAAAAAAAAAAAAAAAAAAACCTCAAGAAGCCTAACACCGTGTCCTAACCAGACGCGATGCGATACGATTCCAGCGACAAATAATTTGTATGTTCACACTAGAGGCGACTGCGAGATGCGTAAAAATCAATCATAACCCACAGCCAATCAGAACAGCGTGTGGGCGGAGTCTCGCGGCAAGTGCACAGCACCAGAGAGTAGCCGAATCTTGACGGAAATCGCAAGAAAATGGATAAGTAGGCTACTCAAATTCACAAATATTACACCATTTAAACATTATTCAAATACATAGGCTACTGAGTTACTAAAACAATCTTTGTCAAATAATACACTTGTTTGTTCACAGTATGAACGTTTCTTGTTTCCATTTGTTTAAAGGTGCCCTAGAATGTTTTTTTAAATTATTTTATAATGTTTCCTGGGTTGCCCTTATAATGTTAGTATGTTTTTTAGATCAAAAACAATCATAATTTAGAAATAAATGGCATTTTTCCTAGCCTGCTTTTAGCCTCTGATTTGAACACTCTGTTTGAAGGGGCGTGTCTGCTGTGGGATTCAGTGTAACCGCGGCCACTGCTGTGATTGGCTGACATGCTTGCATATGAAATTGCTACGCATTACATGTGAAACTCTCTCGAATACTTTTACTACTGCTATTATACGTTTTTACTATAACAGCTATCGAGATTAACGAATCGTGAGATGTTTTTAAAGTATTTAGATCTATTCCCATCCCATAAAATGTTGCCGTGATGAGCATTGAGCAGATGACAGTGTGTTGATCGCGAGAATGAAGATCTTATCATTGCAAAGCAGTTTCTGCACTCTCTCTAATGCTTTCACCAATGCAAACACGATGATGTAAATACAGTAAGAGCTTCGTTGTGCAGTAACGTGCACAGCACCAGAGAGTAGTGCACAGTAGTGCACAGCACCAGAGAGTAGCCGATTGATTTCATTACGAGTTTGGCAAGTGTCCAGATAAACTCGCGCTGTGTGGAAAGATTGTTCTTTGATCGCTTTCTGTATATAATTTGTTCACAATTTAAATACGATTATTTACAGTAAGAGCTTCGTTGTGCAGTAACGTGCACAGCACCAGAGAGTAGTGCACAGTAGTGCACAGCACCAGAGAGTAGCCATTGATTTCATTACGAGTTTGGCAAGTGTCCAGATAAACTCGCGCTGTGTGGAAAGATTGTTCTTTGATCGCTTTCTGTATATAATTTGTTCACAATTTAAATACGATTATTTTCATCCTACTAAAAGAAACGATGTGAAGTTGATATTTTAGTCACTGGCTTGACTTACTGATGCATAAACAGTATTGAACGATTTTGAGAGAAAGATTACTGAACTTGAACAATTACACATCAGAAAGTGTTGCTTGGTAGCTCGATCCGAGGCCAGCTCTGTATTGGCCCAAGTTGAGGAAACAGTCGGTGAAATGTTTGGAAATTTCCAGAGAAAATAAAATTAACCCATTGTTTCTCCAGAGGCTCAGATGAAGGAACTAAAAAATACTTTTGTGTTCATGTGTACATCCACACTGAGCAACTGCCATGCTTCGGCTGCGCAGTTCCGCCTGGCATTGAGGGCTGGCATATGCAAATATTTGGAGGCGTACATATTAATGATCCCGACTGTTGCGTCACAGTCGGGTAGGCTGAGATTCGCCTGTTTTTCAGGGGTGTTTTTCAAAAACGAGATTTAACTAAGAAGGAGAAAACAATGGTGTTTGAGACTCACTGTATGTCATGTCCATGTACTGAACTCTTGTTATTTAACTATGCTAACATAAATTCAATTTCACATTCTAGGGCACCTTTAATTTCAAGATCTGAGGTCAATTATCCATTGTTGCTTTTACAGCTACAAAGCTGGGATCTATTCAAAGTCACATTACACGCTTTTAACATTAAATAAAGAGCATAAACAGTACCTGAGAGATTATCATTGGCACACTTTGTGTTTGTTGTTCCAGTGCGACGTCGCAGAAAAATAGAAACTGTTTCTAAAATAGAATCGTCGCGTGTCGCCGTCGCGGCTGGTTAGGACAAAAACTCTGATTAACATGGAAAAGATACATTTTATCGCGCGTCGCGTGTAGTAGGCTGGTGCATGGGGATGCATCCTAAATCTTGAGACAAAATGAAATGGAAGATGAAAGTGATAAGAAATTCCAACACAGCATCAAATTTCATGTTGGTGGAGTTATTGGCAGTGCTGGAAATATTTTTAATAAGTGAACAATAGCATCAATATAAAAAGATTGCATATCTAATGAGGAAGTGAAATATGCAAAACTGGATTTTCTAAATTGTTAATGTCAGGAGAATCAGTTTTGTCTAAAAAAAAAAATATTAGGAAAAGTTATTATTACAATAAAGCAAAATATGGTTTAGAGTTCAGAGCAGTGTGACAACAGAAGGGATTGGAGTGAGAGTTTTAAATAAAGTTTGACTGTCACACAGATGGCTCTCCCTGTGTGCTCTGAGCTACCAGTTCATCTTAAACACATTTGGCCAGCTGGGAAATCCCTCCTGAAGAGCAACACTGGCCTCAATATACACCCTACCTGCTCCACAAATGACCACAAACACAAGCTAAACAAATTCAGCTTAGACCGATGTGCGTTAGTGTTTACACAAGCTAGGAAAGAATGTGTTCTCCTGAGAACTGTACTTGGCAATAAAAGTAGTTCTCTCTTAGCAATGAAATATTGCATACAGTGCAGAACCTCAGGTTCAAGAAACCCTCTCTTATCAAGATCCATTTTTGGCTGTATTGGGTTCTTGAGTTCATATATGGTTCTTTAGTGGTTAAAGTTCTTGGTGTTTCATTAATGGTTCTTCAGGTCAGTGTGTTGATGTGTTTTTAAAGAACTTTGTGGAAGTCAAAACTAAAGGTTCTACGAAGCCTCTAAGGCAGGGGTGGGGAACATTGATCCTGGAGGGCCACTGTCCTGCAGAGTTTAGCTCCAACCCTAATCAAACACACCTGAAGCTAATCAAGGTCTTCAGGATTACTAAAGTTACAGGCAGCTGAATGTTTTTTTCAGGGTTGGAGCTAAACTCTGCAGGACAGTGGCCCTCCAGGATCAACATTCCCCACTTCTGCTTTAAGGGGAAGGTGATGAAAAATATAAGATGGGTTGAAAAATCTTTCAATGCTTTTGCGTTTGTTCGCAAGACTTTTGCATTCTCATTTCGCAGAGAAACAGCATTCGCTTGCAAATCTTTTGCATTTGTTCGCTAAAATATTGTTCTTCCCACCTCATATTTCTATCTCAAAAGGCAAGGTTTTCTGGGGAGCACAGCAATTTTGTGAGCGAACATAAAGTTTGGGAACATTAAACATTTGTAGAGGAGAATGCGAAACCATCTAAATATAATTTTTCTTCCCATTTTAATCTTTTCCCCTCATCACTTATCCCTATTTTATATATATGTTTCAATAAAAAAAAAATATATCATATATAAAATATTTTCATGGCTGTCAAAGTTAAGATGTTAACAATTATGATAATAATAAAATGTGAAGAGAATATTTTTAAAAGTACAATACAATAAAAAGTATAATAATAGTATTAAAGCTGATTATTTAATTTTGAAAACAGTGATGCAATTTTATTTAATATTTTAAAAATATGATTTCATATTTAATTTCAATTATTTAACATCTGTTTTCACAAATCTTATACATGAAAATATACAGCTGCCTTTATATTTTAGGAAGGGAACCCAAGCGGGTCCAGAACAGTTTGAAAACCACTAGTATCAGGCTATAAAATATGTTTTGTTATAAATAGAGTGGATATGTATTGCCATGTTGTGCCTTTGCAGTTCCTTATGCAACATGCACATTCATATTTTAATCAACACCAAGCATGGCATTGAATGCAAGATCTGAAATGTACTATATATTGTTCTCAAGCACAGAACCCCTGCGAGAGTGTCAGCGCTGCGGCTCAGAGCAGCAGCAACATGTCAAGCAAAATGCAGGGAGGTTATATTTATATCTGCAGGAAAAAACTGGTAGTGTGTCTTTTTATGGAGGCCAGAAGCACGATAATAGAAGAGAGATGGAGCGAGAAAGAAAATGAGAAAAGAGATAAAGAGTGACAGCATACTAAAACGGAAAGAGAGATAGACACAGAGACATGCCTTCTGGCTGTAGATGAGGGCCACAGCTGTGTTTGGTGTGGTATTTTTAAACGCATCAATGCTGCTCCAATCCCCGCACCGCGCCTGACCTATTTATAGCCCGAGCCGGCCATTGTTCTATTTCTGTCACCTGTGGGCCATGCTCTTGTTGATTCACATGCAAATCAGCCTCCTCCTCTCTGCAGCAAGCAACTTGACGGAAAACGAGAGGGAGAGAGATAGAAACAGGAGCTGCAACTCTGAAGAAGCGGAGAGCCACCTTGGAGGACAAAAAAAAAAAAAAAAAAAACTGTTTGAGAGGGAGGGAGGACCGAAAACAGTGAATCTGACACATCGGAGAGAAAATAACAAGCGGTTTTGTCGGGGCAAGAGGAAGGCAGAGCGCAGAGAGTGTGAGAGACTCTCCTGCTGATTCTCAGAGCCACTTAGGTGTCGACTGGAGAAGGATCGAAGAGAGGAGATGAGCAGAGCAGAGGAGGAGTGAAGCTTTTTAGTGTTAGTGAGGGAGAGCTCTGTCACTCTTCGGGTGTCGCTTAAGAGGAGGAGGAGGAGGAGGCAGGGGCGAATGTTCCTTGGTATCTTTTGAGAGAGAGAGAGAGAGAGAGAGAGACAAACACACAGAGAGAGACCGAGAGAAGAGGAGGGGACAAGCTGACAGCAACACAGGAAGAGCAGGGCTGGCAGACGATGTGCTGCTAACTGAAGTACTAATGCTCCAGACCATTTACGAGGCCGACTCTTGTTTCTCTGCAGACGGCATCGGGAAACACCGGCTGCCTCTGACCCCTCACAACGCTGATATGCACAACGTCAACAACTCAGGTGACTGGTTTTTAGATCTCTGTCAGTATTTTCTGTATTGAGATGACAAGGATCACATCCTAAACTTGTGGCAGCATCATCAAGAGAGTTTCATTCTGCTGGGTTGCAAGATTTTGAGGACTGTAAGATTGTGTTTTTGATGCTGTTATGATATCTGAGGGGAAAGTTTTCAGGAGAGCAGCGTTCTGTGGATGCATATTAGTTGGTTTAACCTTAAATCACTAAAATAACAGGGAGGCGGCTTGAGGTATGTGTAATTATCCCGTCAGACGTCATTTCGGCAGAAAGCGTAGGTTATAATGGGCATGAAAACAGAACGCATACAGGATGTTATGCGACTTTAGCCTTTAATTCAGGAGAGAGGAAACTTCCTGAGAAATACGCTGTCAACATGAAAGGCACGTTACTTTTTGCATTTGCCAAAGACAATCAACCCGTTCTATTTGTGACCTGACACTGTTTGCCGAGAGCTCGGGTCTGACATCACTGAGCGAGTGTGTGTTTGCTTTATTGTCTAAAATTTGAGCGTGACTCATTTTTGCTCTTTGCTGTTGTTTCTGACTTGCGGTTGCTGCCAGAAATCTGCTCTCACAACCTCTGACCGGTTCAGAATGTGGTGTTCTGGGAAATCCATGATATGAAAGTTGGGGTGAATTGGGGGTGGGGGGTGTGTGCATGTATTGTATAATAAGAAGACAGATGGAGTCATGTCAGTTCCTGAAAGAAGGGTGGAGGGGATTGCTTCACCTCTGATTTTTCTCTCTTGCACGTATCATTGGAGAACCGCAGGAGATCGTCTGCCTATTTCAGCTTTGTTGCAACATGGCTGAAATTTCACTGAATTTTTTAATCAGCAGTCAGCACAAGCGTAGTTGCAATCCCGGCGTTCTAAATATACACTGTTAGAAAAAAAAAGGTTTTATATAGAACCTTAAAGGGTTCTGTCAGGCACTTCATAGATAGAACCTTTTAGGGGTTCCCATCACTTTATGGATTTAATTAATTTGGTTTTCATTAATTATCCATTTTAATTAAATATTATGAATGAAGCATACTTTATGACTAGAAAAAAAAATGAAATACCCCATTAAACATGAAAGTAATACACAGACATTTCTCCTTATATAGAAACTTTCTTTTCACAAAATGAGTCAAGAAACCTAGGGTTCTATATAGAGCCCTTTTTATTCAAAACCTCATTTTCGTGTACTGTGCACAAAGACGAGAAAGACTGAGCTGACGTCTTCAATAAGGCTCAGCGGAGCAACCTGTTAGGAGGCTAAATCCAACCAACCAGGTCAGTAGGGCGTCCCGTTCCACCCATCAAAACTCTGATACCAAACAATTCAATTAATGCTCATCTGTCTAGTGAAAGCCCTTTACAGGCATGCGAGGCATTATACAGAAGAATGTGGTTAAACAACAGCCACCCGAGTGAGGCAGGCAGGCCTGTTGCACGCTCTATGGGTCAGCTATTATTAGTATGTTATTTTCAGCTTATAGCATTAGCGTGCTAAGATTAGCCACCGTGGCGCTTCGCCATCATACCATCTCCACATACTCTTAATATAACCTAACAGTGGAACAGTTATTAACAGAGAGTTTTTCACCGTCATGTGATATGCAGTCGGGTTTAAATCTGTTATTGTTAACGAGGGTCTACTTGTTTTAAAAAAAGACTGTTTCTTCTTTTTGTGTTTCATTTCTGTCGTTCTGCTCGATGCAAATAGCATCGCTGCAAAATTCAAAGAGTGCAGAGTAGCCTATCTGAAGTAGTTCTCATAACATTGTGATCTTTTCACTGTGTGATCAACGGTCAGATGAACTGTGTTTTGGTAACTGAGGCAAATTGGTTGCAAGTTACGTATTTCTTAAGAGTGCAGACTTAAGGATTTATTCTGTAACACTAACTCAAGCTTTTTGAATATATGTGATCAAGAGTCGAGGCAGAAATCTATGGGAGCAATGCTGCTGTCGGAAGATGTTTATTGTAATGCTAATGTACGCTCACTGTCAGTTTTAAACCATTGAAGCTAGTCTTCGAACAAATGTTACAGTCATTCTGATTATGTGGATTAAAGCAAACACTTCAGAGGGCTAAATATTGCGTTGAATCAACAAAATATATTGAATGAACAGGTGAAAATCATCTTGTGTCAGCCAGCGTTGGAGGAAAATATTTTGGAGTTTATTTGACTTGTCTATTTCAGCGCAAACAAAACACAGTGTCTCAAGTGTAAAGAACTCATAAATCTGTTCTAATACACTTGCAGCAATTTTATGCTCACAGAGCAAGAAGTCCCTTAATGTAGGTGATAATTAGTGAAAATTAAATGATTTGTGCAGTTTGCCATCCTTGTGGTTTTTAATATATTTCTGAATAAAATGAATGGCTGTTCATGCATCATCTTGTTGTTTTTATCTGTAGCCATCTATGACCCCAGGTTATTTTACTTTAAAAAATGAGTTTTGGATTATGCTAATGACAGTGATAAGCAAGTGATGTGATCATGTGGTCTATGGAGAACTATACAGTGGAAAATTAAACATTTTGTTGGGCTGTTATTATGAATGTAATATGCAACATTATGAGTGGAATGACTCTCTCACTGATGCTTAATGTTATGGATGTGATCACATTTCTTAAACGTGAGCTTTATGTGCTATGTGCCTTTTTATGTTTTTAAGATTTAGATTATTGCAATAAGTGGTTTTGATTGGTTTACCAATTTTTCTCAGAGTTTCTAGGAAAATATATTTGTGTGTGTGTGTGTGTGATTTAGGTATTTCCTAAAATGTCCCCACAAGGATAGTAATCCCAGATTTTTTTGTTTTACAGTTTGTACTGTAAAAAAAAAAAAAACATTATGTCTGAATTTCCCCATAAAACATGGAAACCCAACATTTGTGTGTGTGTGTGTGTGTATGTATATATGTATGTATATGTAATGAAAATATGTTTTGTTGAAATATATTTTATTTAAACCCTCAAATATCGAATTAAAATGTACAATGCATGTCGGGGGAAGGCTATTTTTAAATACACCAGGAAAAGTAATTTATATTTTATACACTTATATTTTACCAGTATATTTTTCTGATCTTTTTTTGTGGAATTTCCTCCCCCCCCATATTTTATAATGCATCCAAAAATATACCCGAAAACATCTTTTTCGCTGAATGGGATGATCTGGATTCCCCCTGTCCTGTTTTTGCTGTGAGGAATAAGCTTCTACTTAAAAATACAGCAGCGTTTCCTGCTTTAGACACGCCTGCAGCTCAGAATAACATCAGCCGTAATGAGCACTCAGTCACCGCAGCATATACAGCCAAAAAAGCATCACCCTGTTTTTGCTAAGAAACATACCGTATCTCCACCCCCCCCCCAACACAAAAAAAAACTGTTACTGACAACAGAGGTTAAAAAATAGATTTACATTTAACTGTGCCTCACTACAAGAAAGGTTAACATAGGCAGCATTTGAAGCATACTAAAATATGAGCATTTATGCATTATTATTTTTTCTTAAATGTCATGAACCATGTAATTTAATTTAGGTATTCGTATTCAACATTACCACTGACTCTGTCAAGCCAAATTAAACTTAAGTATATTTCCTTTCAAATTATAAGGTAGCAAATCATTGTGTGACACATTTCTCCCAATAAAAAGTGTCATGTATAGATGGTTCATTAAGAGTCTAATTTAGTACGTTTTTACTTAACGGTGTGTGGGTGGTTTGGTTTTGTAGCTGGATGCAGCACTACAAACTCGACGCTTTTATTATCTCTGTAATCAACAGTAATGAGAAACATGAGTCTATGAGAAATGCATTGCTCAAGGGATTATGGGAAATGTAGTAGAGCAGATGTGTCACCATATCCCTTGAGTCTGGCCCTCTGGGGGAAAGGGAACCGTTTGGACACAGGCCAGGATGCTTGTCATCCCTTCCTGCTAAAAAATAAAACAGGGTGCTTTTACGGTCTTCGAACTTGTGTTTACTGATTCAGTGCCACATCTGCACCACAATTCTCCTCTCATGTCATACCGTTCAGTTGAGAATTCATAAGTGAAACCACAACTAAAGGAAACAGTTCATGAAAGCTAAGGTGCTTGAAATGTTTGTGGTGGGGGGTTAAGGGTGGGAGCGGGCCGCCCAATAGCTTACATAAATTTGACGGGGTGCTTTTATTTTTGCCCGAGTTAAAATTACCAGATGGCTCCACACGTTTGACAGTCTTTCACACATTCCCTATATTAAGAGTGTGCTCAGAAATGCAGTTATATTTAGCCCAGTTACTGCTGGTTTGCGTCTCTTTTCAGCTCAACTGGCGTTAATACATCAACAGCTCTTCTTGGCTTCATTGCATGTTCTCTCGAAGGCTCGAGGCCAAAATACAAGGTGTGAGCATGTTTTGTCTCATAACATTGATTTAGTGATGATGTCAGGTGATGCAATAATGGACCGCTTCCCACTGTACTCTCTACAAGTGCCTTGTTGACAAATAAAATAGAATGAAAAACATGCACGTCATTGCGGTTCTACAGCATCCAACCTGTTGCTTCATTTACTACGTTTATTTAAAAATAAATTATGAAAGCACAGTGGATTCAATCAATCGACCTAATCCAATGACAGAAACGGTTGATATTCGGTTCGCTAAATGGTCTAAAACATGCTTTCTGTACTAAAAATTAACATGGCGATACTGTACTAAAACACAGCCGAAGTTTCCTGAACAGTGCATGAAAATCTACAGCATGAAACAACCAGCGCGACCAGTGTAGTGCGACTCCTGAACGAAGTGAATAGCGAATCAAAACAATCAGGGCAACCAGTGTAGTCTGATTCACAAACGAATGACTCGTAGTGAGTCAGTTTTATGCGTTTTGGCAGTTCATTCACACGACAACAGCATTTTGGGGGCCTGAAAACAAACTTTTAAAAACGGGTTTCAAAGTGCAAGTTTCTGAAAACGATACTGTACAAAAATGCGAA